AAAATCTTTCTATTCTATAAGGTGATGCACAGCACACTCCTATCCATTACTCCTTAATTGTTTATAATTAACTTTATTTTAAAAAACTTGGAAATCAAAGTATCACACTGAAATTAACCAGACCTGAAGTCTACACAACTTTCCAAGTCCTCTGCTTCTCTAGCACCCGCTCAACCTCATTCGGTGTCTTTTCACACACACACACACACACACACACACACACACACACACACACACACACACACACACCGGAATGCTAAGAACAGCACAGGCCTCCTCTAGGACTTTCGATACAAACTGTAGTCATATTAAATGCTTTTCAGATGTGTGTTTTCCCCATCTCTTCTTGACTGTCCAAAAACTGATATAGTCTGTTTTAAATCATTTTCACAATTGGGCTAGGTCTTCCAATATAATCTAGAAGGCACACAGTACACCCTGGTATAGGAAGTAATGATAGTGTGTATCCAGACAATGGTAAATAGTTAAGTCAAAACAACTAGTCAATGGTAAATATCCTACATAGCTAATTAGCATACTTACATTGAAAATCATACAATGTACTCACTATTTTTCATATATGATTCTAATTTTACTCAGCAACCTTCACATATTCCAACATGTAAAAAGAATACATTTGGTACAAATATAGTAGCCACTGTACTAGTGCAGATTGAATTTCTTTCTCTTCTTTTGATTTTTAGTCTTTTGAGACAGGGTCTGATGTAGAGCCATCTGGCTTTGCTATGTAGGCCAGGACGACCTTGAACTCGTGTTCCTTCTGCTTCTGCCTCCTAAATGCTGAAAATACAGACATCCACCACCATGCCTGGCTTAAACTGCACTTCTATAAATCAAAATATATGTCAGATATACTAAGCATGTAAATATATACTAACATAAGTAAAGAAGACTAGTTTTGGGGATTTGGGGGAAAAATGATTAATAAAATTCTAGTATCTCTCAAAGAGATCCAGGACTTAAATCACTTTTATGTGGGATGAACTCATTATTGAAAATCTCCAAGAATAGCCGGGCAGTGGTGGTGCATGCTTTTAATTCCAGAATGAGGGAGGCAGATGCAGGCAGATCTCTGTGAGTTTGTGGCCAGCCTGGGCTACAGAGTGAGTTCCAGGAAATGTGCCAAAGCTACACAGAGAAACCCTGTCTCAAAAAAAAAACAAAAAAATCAAACAAACAAAACCAAAAAAAATCTCCAAAATAATAATGACAGAAAAATAAGATTGGACTTTCCATTAGCTTTGGCTTGATGTTATTGATGATCATGCATTTGAACTGTGATTATTTTAATTCAAATACTTTGAATGGCACATACAGAAATCATCCATCAGCATTGACCATTCAAATGAATCTTACACCAGGGCTGCAATGCATTCTGAATTTCCCCCTGCAGATGGTTCTTGGGACCAACTCTGTATTTCTGTTAAACCCAGGAGCAATACTTGGTGCCTACTAGTTTTTTTTTCCTTGATTATTTGACTTGGGCTAGCATTTAAGCTAACCACAAAACAGAGGAGGAAAACTCACTGCCATGTAACACATTGGTAAGCAAACAGACGGATACCTGGTAAGTCCTGGGCATTTTATAAGCTACCAAATACACACAAGAAGTTACAAAGGAAGTAAGGTGAGGCTGCACATTTCACCCCAGAAAACTAATATTGATAAAGTCTTTAATCTAAATGTGCAGATGGGGCAACATTATTACTAGACGGTGGTAGAGTAGAGAATGAAATTTTTAGATAAACTGAAACATAAAATATAATTCTCATTTAGATTACTAAAACTTACCATATTTTTTAAACATTTAATATAATACATAGCTACTGACTATGTGAATCTTTTTCTCCCTTCAAGAAAGATAGTGTTACTGGAGAAAAAAAAGTCTGGGCTAGGGATGCAAATTAGTGGTAACGTGCCTGCCCAGCATAAACAAGGCTCTGGGTTCAAGAATTAGTGCCATATTTAAAAACAAACAAACAAACCCCCAAAACATGAAACAAAACCCAGAAAAACTAACCCTGAGAAAATGACTCAATCTACCACCACATTTTCCCCAGGAGATTCTGCCCCCAAATGTTAAATCATCTCTTCAAACATGCAAATCATATACTACTAAGCAACATTGTATAAATCACCATAATTAGCAATAATAATTTTTTGGTCTCTTAATCTAAAAATATTAGTTTTTTAAGCTAGCCCTCTAATATCAAATATTCATTTCATGAAGATTCTGAGACCAATTAATCCAATAGTTTAGAAAATCACATAATCCTAAACTTCACTCCTTATTTCCCAAATGAAACTCCAAACTAAAAATGTGCAAATCAAACTAGTATGACATTTTTTGCTTCAGACTACCAAAATGTTTGGTTATCTTCTTCCTATTCAATATATAATGCTTTCAAAACTAAACTACTACTTGGATGGTTCTGTGTTTATGGACAAACTTAGGTAATGTATTCCCATGTCTTAATAACAAGAATAATGCATTTTTTTACAACTAGTATGTTACTTTCCCTAGTCTCTTTAACTACTGAGTCTACTGCTTAAATTCTGAGCATGTGACACAATTTAAATAGTCAATTTTCCACACAGTCTTTTAGTAGGAGTGTGATACCTGTCTTTCCACAGTACACCCACAAGCTGAGCTTAAAGAGAAGATCATTTATGTTTTAATGGAAAGATAAGACAATAAAAAGAAAAGCCACCAAACTACTCCTCCGAGCTTGGTTCAGTTTTCAACCTGACAGAAGTAAGAATTTCTCATGTAGAGAGACTACAATGTGCATGTAAGTTGTGAAGTTCACACACAACCGTGAAAGCAAGGTAGGTGTTTTGGAGATGAGACCAATTAGACTAAGCATTCCTCTCCCCGTCACAACAGAACAGATTACTAACCACAGATGGCAGGTAAATGCAGTACTTAAAAGCAATCAAGGTTTGTTACCCTAGTTGAAATGCTCAGTAGCAAGCACATTAAAGTATAACATATAATTCTTCTAATAATACAAAGTCAGTTCCTAGTTCAGGTTATTTCTTTTAATCATCTTCTACCATGATCCATATCTTCTAAAACACTCCATTCATTAACATATGCTGGGGTATTGGAAATACCCTACTTTCAAACCCATTAAGAGATGTTTTCAGGTCTATAGGATAAAGGTAACTAATTTGATTTGGGAAATTCAGTCTTTATCAGAACGATGTCTTCCTGAAATGATCAAACTTGAGAAAGTTCTCTGACATGCATCAATTTACTGATCTATCATGAAAGTAGCAAATCCATAGCCTACACAGTTTTTATCATGAGCATCTTCTAGGTTGACATAACCACGAAGATGTGAGTCAGCCTTCCAGAGTTGGGGAAACTGATGGAAAGACGGCTAAATGATTCAGCATGCTGCAGCAAAATGAGCTGGTCATGAATTTATAATTTCTACCCCTGTTAGGTGTCCTGGCCCTGGTAGCCTTTCTTACCGAGTACTCAATGTATAGCACATGGTACTGTAATCAATCAATCTTGTTAAATATTCCTTCAGGAAAGAAGTAATAATGTCTTCCCCTCAGACAAACTTCTAGACAGAAAATTCTTCAATGCTATGTGATAGCTCTGACAATGCCCATTTGCAAGCTTCCTCCAACTTTGCTGATGCAAAGGATAGGGCTGGAACTGACGGGAGTGGTGGTGATGCCATTTTCTCAGCAACACAAGAGGCAGAAGGATTGAAGCAAGAAAAGTAAAATGTGAAATATAAACATAAAACCCCCAAACAACAAACAAAAGAAAACAAAAAAGAGGCCAAGGGAGTGAGGTGGGAAAATGAGCATGGGCAAATAGGTTTCTCGTGCCAACACTGACCTTTAGCAATGAACATCAGGAAAGGACAAACAGATAGAAATTGTAGAATACTATCTGGAGTAGCTTTGGAGATATCTCACTGCCCAAAGCAGGTGACAGTCTTTCCAAATGTCACCATTCGCCCTCCAGCAGCAAAAGATTTACTAACTGCATTGAAAACCTTCAGAAATATAGAGATCCCAAACCAGAATAAAGCTTTCTTCATCCAATGACATGTGAAAATGTTATGTGTTACACGTTTTCCATCTAAAATTGTATCGCCTCTAATTTGGAAAGTACATCCATTTTGTGACCTAAACAGTTATCCCACCCAGCATTTTCTGAGAACAGGACAAAGGAGTATGCCAAGATGTTTAGAATGAAATCGCCATTATCTGTGAAGTGGGAGCTGCTCATTCAATAGCCTGGCTTTATTCCAGTTCAGTTCAGTGTAGTGACATATGACACACACACTCCCCCACACTCACACACAATTCCTCAGCAGCAGCACAGAAAAAGGCAGGATTTTACAATTATCCAAAACGCACTTAAGAAATTATAGTGACAAGTGTGGCCATCCATGAATCCATCTTTTTTTCCCTCTCCATTCTGACCATGCAACCCCTCACTTCCCTTAACCTAACAGAGGATGGAGAAAAACAAAAGATGATTAAAAAGACATAGTCCAAATGTACATTTTTATGCGTGTGTGTGTGTGTGTGTGTGTGTGTGTGTGTGTGTGTTTCCTCCTCTAGGGCCTTGGAGGTCATCGGAAGGAAAAAATGGCTCGATAGACAAGATTTCAGGGCCTACCCTAGGGACACCTCCAAGGCCAGAGACAAGCTCAGGAGCGAACCTCTGGGCAGCCAGTTCCCAAGGCTTCAGGCGGCATGACAGAGATCCAAGGCCATGCTGCCGGCCTCTGAGGCCCCCACGCGCACGTTCCACTTATATAAAAGGATGCTTACAATCCAGGTGCTTCTTCTTGGGGCCCATCACCTCATGAGTGGTGGCTTTGCAGACCGCTCTCGCTACAGCAGAGCCAGTCACGCTGTACTGAGCGGCGGCGATCCGATCCGTGAGCGTTTGGCCCGACATCTTCACCGGCCGCGTCTACCGCCTCCTCTTCTGCAGGAAATTAAGAGGAGACGGTCCCGCTTTCACCCGCACCGCCTAGGCTGGAGCACCCTGGCCTTGCCTGCTCCCACCGCACGGCGGCTCTCTCCTCCGCCGACCCCGCCCTGGCACCGCCTCTTGGGACCAGCGACGCGCCAAGCCCTGCTGGTCCATCGCGGTCCAGGGCTGTCAGCTACCCGCCAGGTAGCCCTTGCATCGTGCCACTGTCCCGCTTCCCCACACCTTGAAGCGGCCGCCACATCCCGGCCTCGCCCTCTGTCCATCAGCACTGTCCGCGCAACCCTATCCCGTGGTGCGGGACCGGGTGCGCGTCCGGGTTACTCCGGACGCCGCGCCCAGGAGCGCGCACCTCTCGCTGCGGGGGGTCGCAGCGTGTCCTCCCCACCCACCCACCCACGGCAGCCCGCAGGGCCGCGGCCAACTCCCTTCTGTCCTGGGGCTGCGGCGGCAGCAGCGGCTCGTCCTCCCTCGCTCCCCATCCCCGTAGCAGGGCCGCCCAGAGCCGAGACGCGCCTCACCCTTCTCCGCTGGGAGCTCAGAGAGCCGACAGCTCGGGCCCCGCCCGGCCGCTAGCGCGCCACGGAGCTGTCACCCGGCTGTCTCTGCCCTTCTCCGCGCCCGGGGATTATCCCTCGGATCCCCCGGCCCCGGCGCAGGGGAGGGGACCTGTTTGGCCCAGCGTACTCACCCCGCCCCGAGAGCACCGCAGCCTGGACGCCGCGCGGGGTGGCTGGTTGCAGCCGCGCGCCGCCCCGGTGTCCCCGGGCCGCGATGCTTGCAGCCCCGACCCGGTCCCTGGCTCAGCTCCGCGGTCCCCGCGCCCGTACCCGCCCGCTGCCGCCTCCGCCAGCGCCGCCGCGTCTCTCTAGCGCTCGGCGCTGCGTCCCCATCCCCGCCCCCACCTCAGCTGGAGCGCCTGCGACGAGTCAGGTGACGGCGGCCGACGAACCCGGGGCCAGCCCTCTGCAGAGCGCCGGCGGCCCCCTCCCCGCCGCTCCCGCTCGCCGCCCCCTCGGGGAGCCGCGGGTTTAAACGCGAGGGGGGCCCCCCCGCACGCGAGCGTCCCCGGCCCGCGACTGCGGAGGGGAGGGTGGGACGGCAGGGGCCTCCTCGCGCGCGCCCCCCACACCCCCCGCGCGTCCCCGTGCGGAACCTGGGGCACGCGCGCCGTGCACACCTGCGGGGCGGCTGCGGGATGCGCCGGGATCGCCGCGGGCGTGGGCTTGGGGAGGGAGGGCTGTGAAGGCCGAGGCAAGGGCGGCGGCGGCGGCGGCGTGCGCTGCTCACGGAGCTCACGGAGCCCAGCCCCTTCTCTCTAAGAGCGCGTCTGTGACCAGCTGGCCTGTCAAAGGCAGCCCAGGCCCAGATGGGCAGGGCGATTTGAAATGTCAGATTCTGTGGCCACGGGACCGTTACCTGTGCGCCCTCCGCTCCTTGCGGCAGGGCTGCTCAACTTGTCTCGGTTACAACAGGGAGCAGAGTGGGCAGGAGATTCTAGCAGCTGTAGTCTTAAAGCAATACTGAGGTATGCGGTAGAGGCAAGTAAGTAGCGAAGCCATTAGCAGAATCCCAGATTACACTCGACTGGAATCATTTGCACCCTTAAAATGTAGTTTCTGCTGTTTAAATATGTTGGGACATCTTATGCCATTTGAATGTCGAGTGTCATTTGCATGGGATTGGACTTGTTTAATAATTTCATGAGTTGACATTTGCATTTTAAATTCCCAAAGTTAAGGTCAGAATTTCCCTTAGGAATTCCCCTGACATGTTTCCTGGCTTTATGCAGATGACCTCTGTTCAGTCCCCAAGGCCATATATGCCTACTTGTACACATCAGAGTTCAGCCTTGTAGTGCTTTTTCTCTCGGTGGTCCGTTATTCAATACGCAAACATGAAGTCCTGAAGTCCTGCCCGCTGGAGCTGATTCCAGCATCACCTTGTGACTGAAGAAAGCCCAAGATCACTGGCATGAAGTTACCTACACTAGTATTAGCAGATGACCCCCACAGTCCTGAACTAGGTATTTACCCAAGGGAAACAAAAACACAATTTTTATCTATAAACTTTTAATCGAAATTTGTAGCAGCTTTATACAATGGCCTCAAACTGGAGGAAACTAGTCTATTGGTAAATAGCTAGAGAAAATATGGTATATCCATACAACAGAATACTACTGTTGTATTCTGCTGTGAAATGAAGAGTGTGGATGAATCTCAAATATACTATACTTCATGAAAGTGGCCCAGTCATCAGAAATGTTATTTACTGTTTTGATCCATTTATGTAACAGACTAAGAAAGGTACAATTCGAGACAGAAAATACACCAAGTGCCAAGAGTCAGGAGAGGAGGCCGACTTCAAAGCGCCAGAAGGAAACTATTTTAGAGTAATAGAGAAGTTTTATATCATGACTAAGGTGGTCATTACCCAACTATATGAATGTGAACATTTTAAATTGGTGAATTTTGTTGCATGTAAGTGAGAGCCCAGTGTATCTGATAAAGAGCTGGAGTAGCCATATTGATGTTGTCTAAGGTAGTCTTTATAGTAGGGATGTTAGTAGGAAGAAGCACACTGCACAACAATAAAACTCATCAACAGTCAGTTCCACATGTTCCGCCGTCTAGGAACAGAGCTTCCAACAGGATGGTGCAGACTGAGGACTGACAAAAGGAGGAATGGTAAATACACAGTTACCGCTGACTCAGCATGTTCTCATCAATTTACAATTGCTAGGGTACGTAGACGGCAAACTATTGGGGCTATGCATGATTCAAAATAGCCCCAAACTTACTCCAGCTGTCATATAATATAAAATACTTTACCTAGCAACAGTGAAATATGTTCTTTTAGATGCATGTAGAATACTCTCCAGTATAGATAATATTCTACACCATAAAGCTAGGTTCAATACATCCCAAAGAATTACAGTCATATAAATTGTGAAATTTTTTTAAACCACAAAGTTGTTAACAGATAGAAATCTGAAAAATCACTAAATTAAATACACTCTCAAAGTACCTGTAGGTCTAATTTTCTAAAAGGAAACATTTAAAATTATTTTAAACTAAATGGTAATAAAAGTAAATGCAACATATCAAAATGTATGGTCTGTAGAAGAAGCACTGACGACAAGAAAATGTATAGTATTAAAATGCTTATATTAGGAATGAAGCTGGACATGGTGTAAGGTAGAAGGTCCTAGCTCTCTTCCTGGTTTGAAAACCCAACCAAACCCACCAATTGCTGAGCTCAACAACCTACCAATCCCTGAGCTTTGGAGCAAGCCCAGGACTTGAAATCCCACCAATCCCCTCCTCTCCCCACCCCAGGAAACTCTGTATAAGCCTGTCTTCTGCTCAGTTCTCTGCTGCTTTTCTCCCTAGTAGAGGCAGCCACCCTCTTATGTCTTTTCCAATAAATTTCTTTGTTGTGCGGTGTGACATTGTGGTATTCCTTGACTCCTAACTGCCGGGATATCTTTCCCCTCAGAGCTGCAACACTTCCATTGAGGAAGCCTGTCCCCTCAGAGCTGTAATACTTACACATGGTGGCATATGCCTGTAATGTCAGTGATTGAGGCAGGAGGATTGCAATAAATTTGAAGCCAGACTGGGCTACATTGTAAATATTAGGCCAGCCATACCTATGTAGCAAGACCCTGTCTAAAATAAGCAAGCAAAATAAGTAACAAAAAAGAAGAAAATATTTAAATTAACCATTAAGCATCAATCTTAAGGAAAAAATTGATGTTCCATGACAAAACTTTTCCTGGGGAGATGTAACGAACTCATCTATTCACCCCAGATATGAAACCCATGACATCCCAAAGTACAGATGTCACCAAAGTCCAACTTGCTGAACCAATGAGTTTTATTGGAGTTACTGTGGTAGTTTGAATAAAAATGACCCCTATAGGCTCATATATTTGAATGTTTAGTGTCAGAGGGTGGCACTATTTGAAAATGATAATCAGAAGAAATAGCCCTATTGGAGGAAGTGTGTGTGTCACTGGGCGTGGGCTTTGCAGTTTCAAAAGCCCACGCCCAGTGTCTCTCTGTTTCTGTCTCTCTGTCTCTCTGCCTGTGATCAGGTTGTAGTTCTCAGCTACTGCTCCAGATCTGAATACATGCCGCCATGCTTCCTGCCGTGATGATAATGCACTAAACTTCTGAAACTATAAGCAAGCCCCCAATTCAATGCTTTCTAATAGTTGCTTGGTCATGATGGTGTCTCTTCACAGCAATAGAACAGTGGCTAAGACAATGACTTATAGGAACATGGGCGATGGGTTACTTACGGGAGCAGAAATGACTCAAATACAAGTGCATCATGAAGGCCCACCCCAGAGTGGGTGACAACTCACAAAAGCTGGGAAGCCTGGGGCACACTGCATAGCCTGCAGGCAGTTGAGCAGCTTGGAGAATGTCCTTTCTAGGTGCTGCAGTTGGTCTAAAACTCCTTCAGGCAGCTGGGCTGGTTTACGTTTCTTCCAGGCTGTGGGTCTGGTCTCAGAGTCTTCTTTGCAGCCTAGCTTTACTTCCTCTGAGAGGATGGACCCTGAGCTTTCATTATTTCCTCTGGCAGGGTGGGGCCTAGTGAATCCTAGTTTCAGGGAGGTTTTTATGCTATTTCTTTAGTTTTTTTTAAACCCCTGCTTAAGGAGCTTCCAGGCAGGATGGATGTTACACAACAGTTCAACATAGCAGAAAGAAGCAAATAATGGTTAAAATAAAACAAGCTGTGTCTTTGAAAAACAAATCAATGAGGGAGAGAAGTGCTGGGAGAAGAGAGGAAAAGGGGAGGGCAGAGGAGGGAAGAAGAGGGGATGGAGGTGGGGGCTAGCCAGCTTCCACCGTTATAAAAGAAAGCTGTAACTTTCAAGAAGAGAGCAAATTTTGCAAGGCTCAGGAAGTACCTGAAACTTACAGGATTCCCAAGGTTATCTAAACAGGAACAATTGCAGGCAGAGCTCTGAACAAGTGGTGCAGGGAGTGTCAGTGATGCAGCTTCTGTGAGTGGTGAGTCATGCTGGGAGGGGCTTTTCATTGATGCAACTGCTTTTAATCACCCACACTACTCAAAGTAGCTATCATCAATACTACTATAAGTAATCCTAAGCAACTCACTGGTTCAGTAAGCTGGACTTCTATGGAATAACTTCTTTGGTCTGTCATTAG